AGGTGCCGAGATCTACCTCGACTGGACTATTTGTTCTTTCTTGCTTGTGAAACGGACATAGTTGACTCCCTGCACATGGAGAAAATAACGGAAAAGTGGAGTGCAATTAAATCACGGAAAATTTCCCTTGATTCAAAAACATTTAAAGTAATTATTACTTGCCTGTTTTGTTGCTTCATCATAGGCTGCAGGATTGCTGGTTTAGTTAGCCTGCAACCCTGACACTATTCAGTTACATCGTGGGAACAGTTTGGTAAATTTTTTAGACTTCACCCCCCGCCCCAATTTGAGATCCTAATTGGTACCCCTGGTGTGCCAAATGTCATTCCAAAATTACCTCATTAATAGGGAGTGCCACTTTGGAGGGAGCCATTGACTACAGAACATTTAGGAGCTTGTGTATGGGATCCTGAATCTCTTTCAGTGGGATCTAAAGGGTTTTAGCAATCCTCTGGAGAAGTTCTTGTTACTGCCTGTAAGCATCTGGAGGGGTTAGGAAGGGGTCATCCCTTCATCCAGAGATGATGATGATGCCATCAGCAGATCCAGTGGAGCTGGCTGCTCCAATTCCTCTGGAAAGTGTTCTGCTGGTCGTGATCTCTGTTGAGAGCAGAGCCCCATCTGGTCAAAGTCTGTGAGTCAATAGTAAGTGTCCCAAGCACTCCAGTATGGCCAATGGGCAGGATCACAGGGGTAGGGGCAGACCCCTTCGGGGGTATCATTGATTGCTGTCATCAGGTATGGGTCCATCAGATGTAAGGGTCTCCAGGATGCTTTAGAAACCCTATCTGGGCTGATGCTCAGCATGGGGACTCAGAGTACGAGGTGTCTGACTCAAATGGCAGAGGCATCAATACCATGTGTCTTATGGCAGCTCTCCAAGGCATATTCTGGTGAGTATGGAGCATCCCCAGCTCTGCTCATGGTCAGACTGGTGAGTAATGGGTGGGAAGTGTAGTGACGTGTCTCACTCGCACCAGGTCCAACAGGATCAGTGACTCCTGGTCCGTGTAAATTGTTACGTCCTTGAGAAGGGTGTACACCAAGGTATGGCCGGAGAAAAACTGGCCAGAATCGTTGGTATGGGATCTGTCAATGCAGCCTGAGGTATGGTGTCATGAGGTACTGCTGGTGGCAGATGGCGAGTGCTCTTGACTGTCCATATACACTTTTGTGGCTGGTTTTGGGCCACTGGAAGCTCATGGTACTGTCAGTGCTGTCCCGTGTTCCCCATGAGCTCCAGGCACAGCCACTCCAGGGCATGGAGTCTCACTTAGTCACGAGCAAAGGGGAGATGCCACCCTCTTCCTCAAGGACTTATGGGAAAATTCTGACTTCTTATGTGGGTGTTTCTCTCTACCCTCATCATGTTTCCTCTTAGATGAGTCGTTGGGCCTACTTGAAGATGCTGGAGGGGCACTGGTGGGAGGTTCTGGTCGATGCGGCAGAGAGCAAGAGAATCCCAGATCAGACAAAAGCCTAATGGAGAGCTCCATCAGATGCCTGAACTCCTGGGACTGCCTGCTAGGAGGGGGAAAGGATTGGCAGATGTCACATTTTGATGGCAGTAAAGGTAGCTCTCATGCAGGTCACTTACTGTAAGACCCAGTAGGCAAGGCAAGCCTTGAAGCATCAGACCTGGGGCTTAAGCACTCCAAACATTGGGGGAATAGGGGAACCCCCTGATCCCTGTTAAGTAACTACAACTTATAAATTGACTAACTATCAGAGAAAAATGATAATAAAAACTGTTTACAATACGTACAGGTTAAAGCCCAAGCAAGTTCGAAGGCTATGGACATAGGAAAGTCTCATCTCAGACTGTGAGCGGTAGAAAGGAACTGACGAGTTAGTCGGTCTGTGCCACCTCTTATGCCTACAGTTTGCAGCATGAGGCGGCACAGATATGGAATTTGGATACTGCTATGAAGAATTTCTGGTCCTGAGTGTTCAGAGTACATGCACACCCACAGTGAATACCCATAAGAACCAGCACTCAAAAAAGATCTCAAGCTAGAGCCGATCAGAAGTGTTCAGATGAAAACACTCTGGCATTTTCCAACCAGCTCTAATTAGAGAAGAGGACTTGTTTTCCACAGCCTCTGGGGCTCTGTAAAATGAGTTAGTAACTAAATATAGGCAACCAAACAAAACATGTTAAACACGGTAACCTTCCTGTGATGTTCTTCCTACAACTCCCAGGTATCCACAAAGTACTTTACATACAAAGAAAAGGGCGGCAGCAGATACTCGCAGGACAACATGGGGTATAAATCAGGGCAGAATCTGGCACAGCAGATCCAAGTCTGTATTTTGTCTTCAATTCTCCAGATTTGTAAGAGGCATTTGCTTAGTTTCTGTTAGAAACGAGATCCCAGGCATTGTTTCCACATGTGATTGGAAACTGAACAGCGATTTGTCCAACTACTACTACATCTACATGTCTGTTATTCAGACCATAGGCGGGGTGAAAGTGAGCCGGTACAGGCCGGTATGGCATACCGGTAAGAAGCCGTTACCAGCCCGTATGCAGCCCACAAGCGCCATGGCAGCGCTTTATCGTCCCTGTCCCTTTTGTCTCCCCTGTTGGCGGCCCTTTTAAATTTTTACCCTGAGCCCTTTTAAATCGCCGCCGGAGCCCCGAGCGGCAGGGGCCAGGCAGCGCAGATGGGCTGGCTGGGGGAGGCTGACCCCCCAGCCCTGCCCCTTCCACCCAAGACTTGGCCTCCGTACTGGTAAGTTTATTATTACTTTCACCCCTGACCATAGGTAATGTGTTACTTGGCCATTGCTATTAGGGGAGAATAAATTGTGAACAAAATAAGAAAAAAAATGCCAACAAGTTGAAGTAGCCCAACATCACTTCAGAATAGGCACTGCAACAGTGAAAAAGGTGGGCAAGGAACTCTTGGACAAATTAAGGGAATGAATAAGACTGAACCAACTTGTCGTCCTTTTCTCCAGTGTAAATCGAGGCATTACCCTGGAATCAGAGAAGTTTAATTTACACCACTGTAATTGAGAATAGAATTTCATTCAGCATCTCTCCTGGTCTCTCTTTGGTCTTTCATATTGCTATACATGCAAGGAAGCAGAAGTTGTTTCACACCTTTGCTTTTGTTATTAATAGGGTGGTTTTCTGCAGGGCTGGGTGGAGAGACCAAGGATATCACTGTGTGAAAACCTTTCTTATGAGAAATGTCTTTTTAAAAGAAAATGACTTCTGCAGAAGATAGTTGATTGCAAAAAGACTTCAAAGACTTATCTGATTTTTGTTCTGTGCACGTGTGATTTTCCAAATCTCCTTGCAATAGTCAAATACACATAGCTGAATATTAAAACCAATTTTATTAACAAGGGGACTATTGGCCTGGCCCATGAGGTTGTCCATACTGTTTATAAAGGTCAGCAGCTGGCAAGACTGTCAACGTCCTGACATGATTTCTTTGAGCAGATTTCTCATAAGAGTTCCTTGAGCACAGCTGGGAGCGTGTCCCTCAGCCCCATTATGGATAGGGCCCTACGAAATTCACGGCCATGAAAAATGGGTCATGGTCCATGAAATCTGGTGTCCCCTCGTGTGCTTTTACCCTATACTATACAGATTTCACGGGGGAGAACAGCATTTCTCAAATTGGGTGTCCTGCCCAAAAGGGAGTTGCAGGGGCGTCGCAAGATTATTTTAGGGGTGTCACAGTATTGCCACCCTTACCTCTGGGCTGCCTTCAGAGCTGGGTGGTTGGAGAGCAGCAGCTGTTGGCCAGGTGCCCAGCTCTGAAGGCAACACCCTGCCAGCAGCAGCACAAAAGTAAGCATGGCAATGCCATACCATGCCCCCTTTACTTCTGTGCTGCTGCCTTCAGAGCTAGGTGGCCGGAGCGTGGCGGCTGTTGACTAACGGCCCAGCTCTGCAGGCAGCAGTGCAGAATTTAGGGTGGCAATACCGTACCATGCCATCTTTACTTCTGTGCTGCTGCTGGCGGCAGCGCTGCCTTCAGAGCTTGGCTCCCGACCTGCAGTCACTGCTCTCCAGCTGTCCAGCTCTGAAGGCAGCGCTGCCGCCAGCAGCAGTGCAGAAGTAGGGGTAGCAGTACTGCAGCCCCCTCCCTCCCCACAATAACCTTGCAACCCCCCCCCCCACACACACAACTCCTTTTTGGGTGAGGACCCCTACAATTACAACACTGAAATTTCAGATTTAAATAGCTGAAATCATGAAATTTATAATTTTTAAAATCCTATGACAGTGAAATTGACCAAAATGGTCGGTGAATTTAGTAGGGCCCTAATTATGGAGGAAGCACTAATTAGGGCCCAGAATTCCCCACTTGCCTTCAACAGCTGGGAAGGACAGGGGGTCCACCTCCTAGACAGTAACCAGTGGCACTAAGAGAACCACAACGTGCCTGTGGCCTTTGACTGAGAGGAGACACTTCTGGCAGAAATCTCAGGCTAAACCTGACCAGCTGCAGCTAATTTGTTCTTTTGACTCCTGTGCTGCCGGTGTGTGGGAAGTGAAGGAAGGTCTGTTTGCCTTCATCACATCTTCAACCAAATCTCACAGGGCAGAACTGTTGTACGTGATGCAAAGCCTGGTTAATCTGAGCTGCTCCTCTCCGTGACAGCACAGAATGTTTGTATGTCTTGCAGACAAAAGCACTTGGATGTTCTCAGCACTGTCTGCTTCTGCCTTGCATTGCACAGTTGTGAGGGAACAAATGCCAAGCCTTCCCTGCTCCCGTCTCAGCAAGCCAGCGTTGCTCGCTGTGGTTCTCTTGGTGTATTATTAAAAGGCAATATCACTGGTAACTAAGCCAGTGAGCATTTCACCCTTCTAAAAGAGGGCAGTGCTATAAACTAAGCAGTCAAAAGAGAAGCAGCGGTGGAAAAAAATGACAAAACCAATTGTCTCAGGTGTCAAATCTTTCACATGCATTCTGGGTAAGAGGGCCGTAATGCAGAACCCTGTCAGACAACGCAGGAATGCAGCATACACTGACCTGTGTACATTTTCCATTGCTGCTACTTCTGCTAGAGCAGCTAGGCTAAAGAATGCAGACACAGCTGGCATGCCTGGCGTAATACTATGAGTCTCCTCTGCTTCTGTGCTTCTAGAGCATTCGTCGTTGCAATCGGTCACCGCACTTGATGTTTTTTGGAGACTACTCTGTGGTAGCTCCTTTGGTTTTTCCTCTACAACAAAAGAAAAAGTAAAACTTGCAGGCAGCGGGGCAACAAAGTCAGCTACAGCTGTGTACTGAACAGTACTTAGTATAGAGATGTTAACATGCATTTTTCCATCATTAATTGAGACTTTATCATCTGTAATCCAAATTTACTACTGGGGCTCTCTGCCTCCCTCTAATGGCTGGATGACATAGAAGTTTATGCTATGCACTGTGATCTAACACATTTGGATTTTTTTGCTCAGGCAGTGGAAGCTCATGCTTTTAAATCCAGAGGTCCCGAGTTCAATCCCCACTGCTGATGACCTACCTATGGACATCACATTACCCCTGTCTTTATATACACTACAGGGCCCAATTTCACATCCATTAACTGCACCCGCTGTGCAGGCACAGTACCTTCGCTTTGCTGGACCGGTAGCATGTTACCTTAAGAGAGATAAGCTATGTTCCAGCACTCTCTCTGTGTGCCTCTCCCACTCCTCATACAGAAGTTTAGAGACAGATTTTTTTTGACATCTAAAATTTTTATCCAACGTTAAATTGCCTATTTGGAGCTTATTGAGTCCCTAGATGGTATGACCCAATTGGTACCTGTTTTTACAGAATTATTTTTCCAGTACAGGCTTATGACCTCTTCCCTACTAGGGATATGTTTCCCTACTAGTTTACTTATACCTCAGAACCACTCTCAATAATCTAGATTTATCATAAATTTAGACTCTCGTCTCCTTACCCTGAGCCCCTCCTGCTGGTGACACTCGGCCATCTGCTGTCCGAACAAGATGTGTGATCTTAGTTTTCCTCGCTTTCCTCTTTTGGCTACCAACCAAGGGTTCATGCAGCAGTGCTGGCTCTGGAGTATTTGGGACAGATACAGAAGTTTTATTCTTCCGTGCAGGCTCACTGGGGTTTTTGTCTTCTGCAAGTATGGCTGAAATGGGACAAGTCAGTTACAATTACAAGTCAAACGTAAAACACTAGAATTGCTAACTATATGCACATTCATATCTGTCTGCACATGACACTTACAATACTCACTAATGGGACTGCATGAAATTTGCAGGGCTCGAGTCATGGAAGTGTTTGTGAGCTGCACCTTGTGTTTTGGATTTGCAAGGAATAGTATTGGACCAATTCTTGCAGGTTTCTCTGAGGTTCAAGTTTCTATTGTTTTAAAAGGATCTAGTGAGTACAAACTGTGACAGACTGACAATATCCTGCAACATCCTGGACACACCTTGTGGAATTAAGAGAAACTTTATTGAATTAAGGCTAATACCTTTGGGGTCCATTATATTAAAAACATAATTGTGCATGTTATTGGGGAACTGTATGCAACTCCTCTAGGAGGGGGACCCTAATGTAATTCCTCTGATTTTCAGTCCTTTGAAGCCATCCCCTGAAGAGGTTCGCATATACTAGTTCAAAGTGGATTCTCCAGAGGCAAAGAGACAGAAAAAGGATTTTTGGATAAATAGCCTGGTTTTAAACAGGCTCAGGGCCTTCTTCCTGATCCAGAAAATGGCCAGGCCATTAGGGTAGGGTTGGAAAGACTGGGCTTATGGAGGACCCATTAAACTGTGAGCTGAAATTGTAATGAACTTGACACCAGAAGGGAATTCTTTGGGTGGGGTTCTGAAGGACTGCTCCTGCCAGAGCCTATGTTAGTGTTGGGGTTTAACTCTGGTAAGCTTATTGGCATGCATGTAGGTCCCTTTTATTGTTCTCTATAGTGCTTTTAGCTTAAGAATTAAACAGGCTTGCATAAGAAGTGCTGTGTGGCACTTTATAAGAGAACGTTACTTATCTTAAAATAACTCTTCTTCGAGACATGTGGTTCCCTACCTGTATTCCACTGCAGGTATGTAAGTGTGCCATGCCTGGAGCTGGAGATTTTGAAAGCAGCATCCATTGGCCCGCATATGCACCCTGGCTCACCTTGTGCCTCAAACGCAGGGGATAAAGGGTGAGGTGGACTGACCACCCCTCCAGTTCCTTCTCTATCGTGAATCAGAGAAGATCTAAAGCATAGGGGAAGGAGAGGAGGGGTAGTGGAATACAGAGAGGGATCACGCATCTCGTAGAACCTCCAGTTACTATAAGGCAAGTAACCTTCTCTTCTTTGAGTGCTGGTCCCTATGCGAATTCCACTTTGGGCGATCGACAAGCAGTACTCAGAGGAGGAGCATGTGAGGTTGTAGACGGCAGAGCCGAACGAAGGACTGCCATTCAAAAGATGCTGAGGAGTCCTGTACCAAGGCATGGTGTCTTGCAAATGTGTGGATGGTGCTCCTCGTAGATGCCTTGCAGATATCAAGTAAAGGCACCTCTTGAAGAGATTCCATAGATGTTGCTTGCTCTTACCGCAAGAGGAGGAAAGATTAGACAGCTGATAGCAGAGCAAAATAAAGCCAAAGATTCCTTTTGCAATTCTTTGAGAGGATATAGCCTGACGCCTGACCCCTGACCCTAAACTATGGCTACAAATAGTTTAGGAGACCTTCTGATTGGTTTTGTTCTCTGCAGGTAAAAGGCCTCTGAACATTGACGGGGGTGGAGCCTCCTTTCTACTGGGGATGTGCGTAGTTTTGGGAAGTAAGTGAATTGAGAGTGTAAACATAATGAAACTTTGTCCTTATGGAATATAGTATAAGGAGGATTTGGTATTAGTGCTCCAAGCTCACCAACCCCCTTGGCTGAGGTGATAGCTACCAGGAATGAGGCTTTCCTGGACGGGAGAGACATGGAGCAAGAAGCTAATGGTTCAAAAGGAGACTTTGTGAGTACTGAGAGAACAAAGTTAGAGTCCCATTGAGCATAGGCTTTTTTATAGGGAGAATGGTTCTGATTAGGCCTTTCTAGAATCTGCTACTCAGTGGGGTGTGTGAAGATCAAGTAGCCCTATGAAGGTTGATGGTATGCACGGATTGCTGCCAAGTGGACCCATACGGTGCTGATAGACAAACCTGCTATCATTAAGGAAAGAATATAGTCCAGAAGGAAAAGAATATCTGCAGCCTCTGGGGGTATAAGTCTTCGATGCACCCAGACAAAAAAATGCTTCCACTAGGCTAGGTAATATTTTCTAGTGGAATCCTTGGAAAAGATATTCTGTACAGCTTGAGAACATGATCACTCTGAAGATGACATCCATCCAAAAACCAGGCTCTGAGATGAAGTGGACGTGGGTTGGTATGCTTGATCTTGTCATTCTCCAGGTTAGGAGATTGGGAAGAATGACTGGTGCCTGAAACAACATACACAGGAAGTTCAGGAACCAAAACTGTCTGGGCCAGTTTGGGGCAATGAGAATGACTTGTGCCCTGTCCGGCCAAATCTTGTGTAAAACTTGAGGCAGGGTGGTAGTGAAGGGAAGGCATAGTTCAGATGATTTGACCATGAAAAGAGTAGAGTAGGATGAGAAAACAGAAATTCTACCCCTTTGGCTGAGAGACTGTATGATTTCTCTGACCCTTTCGGGGGTAGGGGCCAGGCTGCTCTACCTGGCTCCAGGATGGCTCTGTTAATAAGGAGCGCTATTTGACTGGAGCGGGAAGACTGAAGGATGCCCAGGAGCTTGTGCCCCTCAAGAGGAATCTGCAGCTCTCCTGCAATTCTGCAAAGGACTTCCTGGAATTGATTATAGTTATCGGGGGTGGAAGGGATGGAGACATTGGAGTTACTGCCTCATTTGGAGGCTAAAATGGCAATCTCATCAGTTCTGGTGCAACTGCTGGATCCAGCACATATTCCTCATCCGAAGTAGGATCTGGAGGCAGCTCTGGCTGTTCTTTCAGGGGGAGGGAAGAAGCGACTCCCTAGCAGATTGGGCTGACTCTGTGGGATGGTACTGGTTCCACAGCCCCCAGTATGGACAATAGGATGGTTTGAATGAGGGTTGTAGAGGTCCCCATGGCATGAGGTACCGACGGCTCTGAGGCAGGTGATGAGGTGGAAGTTGGGCCCAAGCTGGTCCAGCTCTTCTGACCAGGAAGGTGTGTCTTGGAGGCAGGAATAACGGTTCATCAGGCACTTCAGAACCTCCCAATGAGGAGAAAGCCAATTCTGGTTCCAATGGCGGAACTGGTGGTGCCACTGGAGGGAAATCATAGCCTAAAGATGGAATGGGAGACCGACTCCTCCCATTCCCATTCTCTAGCTGGAGTAATAATCTCTCTTAAGGGGAAGGGACTTGATAGATGGGGAGACTCCGGGTCTGGGAGAGCGAAGAAGTCCTCAGGAGGAGCATAGGTCTTGGCTTTTCCTGGAGTGAGAGGGGTCCTGTCCACCCAAACCACCGGAGCCACTGTAGAAACAGTCAGTGCCACAGCTGTTGAAGACAAAGATGGTATCATGGGTAACCAATGCTCTTGGTGAATGGTCTTCGCCAGTGTCAGGGGATCCTGGCGTTTGTGTTTGGGGGTACCGGAGGCACTGGTACCACTGAATCAGATCTGGTGCCAATGGAGTCCTAGACTTGTGGACTTTCTTGTCATGCCTCTGAAACCTAGGCTGTATTAAGTTCTCTTGGGCTGAACGTATAGACTTGCTCGGTTTAGGCGGGGCTGGATCCTACATCTTCAAAGTGGATTTGGAGGAAGACAGTCTCTTGCTTATGAGAATGCTCCCTGCTCTCCAGATAAGACCCCACAGAGGGAACTGTGAGGGCAGACTCTCTCGCTCCTGAGTCGGACCTCCTGGCAGGAGGCGCATTCCTTGCTGAGTTAGGCTGATGTATGGGGGTAGGGGATGAAGAGGGTGTACACAGGCCTGGGTCTGATTGCGGCTTCATGGGCTTTTCCAGTAGGTGCTTTCTAAAGCTAAGTTCTTGTCCTTCCTGGGTACAGCTGGGGAATGAGTGGGAGATTCTGCATCTCACCATGGTGTAGGCTTCTTTGATGCAGTACAAGCTGACTGAGAAGGCGTGCGGGCAGGAAGCACTAATTTTGAAGCCTGGAGTCCTGGGCAAAAGTCCAGTATCCAACTAGGGATCCAGTGGGATGGGGTCGAGGGGGGGCACAAGGGGACCTCTCCAGGTCTGGGAGACTTACTACTCATAAAAAACTAAAATTAGCAGATTAAAAAAAACCTATTTACAGATCTCTAAATATATTCACAGATAACGGAGAAAGCTGAAGCTTTGGAAACTGGAGGTTCTAATCCGGATCACACGGCGGTGAGAAGGAACCAGAGAAGTGGTTGGGTCATTTGTCTCCTCGGTCAGAGGCACGAGGTGAGCCAGGGCGTGTGTGTGGACCAACAGACACTGCTTTCAAAATTCTCTGGCTCCAGGCACATGGCGCGCGCATGTGTACCCACCCTGGAATACACACAGTGACCAGCACTCGCAGAACAATTACTCTGGTATTAGTCTCTGCCTAAGCAGACCTGCTTACTCTCTCTTCAGAGTCTCTTACTGTATATTCAGGGCGGGGACTGTGCCGCCTGAAATGCCCTGGTCAGAAGGGAGTGAGATGCATTTCCACTCAAGAGAGGTGACGGCCAGGGCAGCTCGAAGCCTAGGGGGCCTTTGCTAGACTATAGAGGGGGGAGTACAGATGCTGTTGCCCTGAACTGTGACACAAACAGTGGGTGAAATCCTGGCACCACGGATATCAATGAAAATAGGATTTCACCCAGTATGTAAAAGACCCTAGAACAGGAGTGGCTAAGTGGTGGTCAGAGGACTAAATGCAGCCCAAGGAATTATAAAAAGCAGCCCACTGCTGTGCTCATCTTAAAACAGAGGAACTTGGGTACCTGGACTCTGTAGACACAAATTTGTTACACTACTGAGCTTCTGGAAAGTCACCAATGTACTCCCCCCCACTCCCCCCAAACTCCTTTGTTTGGCAAAGTATGGAAACCGCTTGCTGTATGAGGACTACTTTGTGAGTTGTAGTCTGCTGTAGAAGTAATACAACATAATAC